CCCCCCCCCCCCCCCCCCCCACCTACCCTTTCTACTGCTACTACCTTTCTTGTATTCTTCTCTCCCCTGTGACTTTCTCATCTCATTCTCAATACCTCACTCTTAACTCTGAGTATGGACATGCTATGGGCTTACTACTCACAGATCTATATATGGTACTCAGGGAAAACTATGCCAGTTGGCGTGGACGAGGCGTGAGATTGCCAGTGTCTCATACTGACCCCGTTTTAGCCGAATAATCCTTGTGTATTTTCTGAAAATGCTTTAAGTATGATCTGTACGATTCTTGTCTGTATTGTCTGTACTAGTTGTCTTTCTACCACTTGGAAAAAATCATAAATAAAGAATTTATTAAGAAAAAAAAAAAAAAAAGCTTTGTACTGATATTTGCTACCCGTCCTCTCACTTTCAGGAGTTCTATGGAATTCCTCCTTTTTGTTTTACACATTTTTGCCATTATGGAATCATAAATTCTCACATAAATGATTTTACTTTTGAGGGACTGTGGAGCAGCAGCAGGTCCCGATATGTGTCCCGCATCAGTCTCCCATAGTAATGACAACATTTTATTGACAGAAGAAGGCAATGAGAGTTACAAATATAACATGCATCATAATTGAACTTCATGAGATATTATTTGTATATTATTTTCTGTAGCATAAGTGCCTTATGATCTGCTACATGGCATTAAACTTATGTATGTAGCTCTGTAATCAATAATACTATTTGTCCAAATAGGCATAATGCATTTTCCATAGCTTTTGCAAATGATTTTGTAATGATTTTTAAAAAATAGGAAAGTAAGTTAAATTGAAGGGAATGTGTAAGTGTATATTTATCAATAGTTTGCCTGATTTTCATCCTGCATGTCAAAAATATATAGGCTAATTTCCACCTTTTTTCTGATACCTGTCCAGGGAGAGACTGCTCTCAACACCAACTGGTAAACGTCATATTTCTGGTGGCTAAGCAGACCATAGCTCATTCGTGGAAAAACCAAGTTATTCCTTACGCTGAATTTCAGCAACGTATTCAGAGATTTTTTGTGCATGAACACTTGTTCAGTATCCTTACTGATACTCGCAAGAAGCCTAGAAAAGTCTAGGATCTTTGGTCTGCTATCACCCTTTCTGCCTTGTACATGGTGACACTTACAGGGCTATTCACAAAAGGGTGAAGAGTTTGGAGAAGTCAGGAGAAGTGAACAATCTAGGCCAAAATAGCTGACTTGGCCTAGATTGTTGTTGATAGAAACTGTCACAGGTGGTTAAGCACTGTGGGAGGAGGAGGAGGAGAGATGTGAACGGTCGGCATCTCTCCTCCCTGGACCGCTCAGCTTCCTGTTACAGATTGGCAGAGCGGTGTATGGGCAGAGACAGCCAGCGCTGCCACAGGAGGCTGATCTCTCCTCCCGCACCGCTCAGTCTCCTGTGACAGTTGTCAGGATGGAGAGCGAGGTACAAACACTCAGTGGTCAGTGATCGCTGAGTGTTTGTACATAATTGAGGACAGAGTATATTTACTATATCCTCAATTATGAATGAATGGGAATATATCTACATCACCTCCTGTTAATTCATGATTGTGTTTATAGTAAACACACTATAGCCACATATTATAAATGAACACGAAAACTCAGTTTAGAGGCTTTCTGTTCATTTATAACAGGGTCTGCAGAAAAAGAGATTGAGTTCTCAATAACTTTTTCTATTTTAAAAGAGAAATATCAGGGGTCTGTTTAGATCCTTAATATTTCCCCGAAGCACCTTAAAGTAAAAAAAATAAAACTATTTAATAAAAATAAATTAAAATAAAATAAACAAATTAAGTTTAAAAAATACAATATTTGAAATAATTAGAAAAAAAACATTTTCAGTTTCGGCCTGACATAATTTTTTTCATTTCGGTGTCGTTTTTAAAATTTTCATTTTGGTGAACCTCTAGTAAGTACTATTCTTCACAGCTTAGTGTAAGTGTGAGATTCAATGTTCATCAGCTGCTGCTGTTGCCTGGTATACACATATCCAAATGTAAATAAGCTACGTTGGTAGATATACCATATTGCATATGAATGCCAACATTACATGCACAGCTACATGATCAGAAGAAAGACCCATTGACAATTCTCCAGGAGAGCGGCAATGGGTCTCATCTTTCATTGCTAAGTACAGCTCTGTACAGATTTTTACTTATAAAAAGACAGTCTGTCCCTGTATGTGTGCGTTCGTATGCAATGTGTCAATGTGCATTTACAAAATGAAGATCGTAAAAAAAAATATAAAACATTTTCACTTTAAACATTTAAATTTGAACTCTAAAATAATGTTGATCTTAAGCTATTATAGTATAACTTGAAATAAAAAGTTAATTACTTAGTAGTTACAATAACAACTGAGCACACTTCACATAATGAATTTACCTTAGAGGTCTCTGCACCAACATGGGACTGTGTTTCTTTTAAGCGAGAGATAGAGCTATGACTGAGGCCACCAACAACAGACATGAGGGTGTTAAAGTTTTGCAACTCTAGAAGTTTCTGCAATAACAAATCTAGTTAGCAAATTTTAAAGCACATACTGTATAGCAAACTACCACAGTGAACAAGCTTACATTTACTTTTAAACTAAATATAATATAATGGAAAATCTTATGTCCCTTGCTTAAAGGAGAATTATGAGGCGAGTGAAAATCACTCAGCTTCATAGTTCTAGCCGACCTGTGACAATGAAACTGTCACAGGTCGGCTCAATAGATCGGGAAGTGAGCGAACACATAGTGTCGCTCGCTAACTTCTCGATCTATCCCTGCAGAGAGCCGTGACTGTCAGTCACGGCTCCCTGCGGGGATTCCCCCCTCCCCTATTCGATCCTCCAGCGCTGACTGGCGGAACGGACGGGGGAGGGGGCGGGCACAGCTGGCTCTAGATAGGCAGAGCCAGCTGTCAATCCCGCAGCTGGGTGGATCTCGACAGTAATGTCGGGATCCGTCCTGGCTGCAGCGTCTCAGTATACTGAGACTGAGCTTAGCGTGACGGGAGGACACCAGTTTGTGTCCTCCCGTTACCCTTAGGAGAAGTATGTGGAAAAGCCCTGACCCCATAGTTCTCCTTTAATGAGGCATTACATACTGTTGTTTGGTGAAACCTTGTGTGAATGGATAAATATTCCACTAATTTATTGTCTAGACATGTGTGGAAGAGACATTACGGTAAAATACTACATAGATACATACCTCTGCTACTTCTACAAATTGCTTAATGACAGCTGCCCTTTGTTGTGGAGTAGGTTTGCTCAGCACCATAAGCTGGATCCACTGAGAAACACCATTGAACAGGGCTATGAATCTTTCCAAGACAGGGTTTCCCACAGTACAACCATGAAGGACAAAGCTGTGATAATCCTGAAACTGGATATAAAAATACAGCTAGTAGTTTAGCCTGTAATGAATTCAAATCTTTAGAACAAAAAACAGATATAATTTATTGTGTACACTGCAAAAGTTAGAAGTTAGTCTAGCAGCAAGATGTTATACATTAATTCATATATGATTATGTTTATAAATGTGTGCAAAATATTACAAAATCCAATTTTTATTCTTCTAATGCTGATTTGAAAATTAAAGCAATCACTTTGTGACACTTTGCTTGGATCTGGTTTTATAGAAAAATGTCCACTTTTCTCACAACAAATTGTAAGGCAGAACTTGTGTGGGGCTCTGTGCAAGCTTTAAAGATTCCGTTTGGTCTATGGAAAGCCAATGAGCAAGTTTTAAAGAGCCAGTTTTACAATAACCTTTCCTCTAGGAAGTTAGCTTGTAACTCATTAAAAGTGTCCAAAGGCAGCTGAATGAATAACCCAGCCGAAGTGAAGTGAGCCGAACGTTGTTCAGCTATTCACTTCAGCCTTGTACGGCTTATTTCAGCCATACATCGGCTAAAATCAACCGTACATCGGCTGCCTTCGGTCAGCAGAACATGCTCTGTAGATGTTGGATCGACTGAGCCGAAGCTCCGGCAGCTCACTCGCTGCCGTTCGCCCCTATTCTCATAGGGGCCGAACGGCAGGGAGTGAACAGCCGAATGCCTCTGAGGTACCGAGCAGAATAGAAAATAAGTGGAAAGAATGTGAAAAAAAAAAGTTGCAAAATGATTTAATTTTTTTTTTTTAAATAGGAAAATTTAAAATATATATAATGTAAAGAAAAATACATTTTAAAAAACAATTGGGCGGAGCTAGCAGTGACAGCTCCGCACAACTGTTTCCTATTGGCCGGCACCTGCTAGAGTCTTCTAGCAGATCCCGTCCAATGAATAACAACTGGGCGAAGCTCCGGATCTGGCATGGCATTTTAGGGGGGACTCCACGTACTTTTTTCCCCATTTTTTGGGGTGGCGTTCCTCAAAATTCCTACCAGACCTTCAGGGCCTGGTATGACTTTATGGGGGAACTCCATACACTTTTTTTTTTTAAATGGGGTCCCTCCTAACTTAACTACCAGACCTAAAGGGTCTGGTATTGTTTGGGAGGGAAACACCACGCTGTTTTTTGTTTTTTAATTTTTTTTATTATTTTCCTAACTTTTTTTAATTTCTTTTTTTTACATTTGTTTAAATAATTTTTAACCATTTTTTTCCATTTATATTAATTTCTATTCTTCTTGCTACCTCGGACGTAGTGAGCAGAATAGCCGAGCTGAAATGCCGCCCGGCAGCATTCGGCTATTCTCACTTCCATTGGCCCCTATGAGCATAGGTGTGAACGGCAGCGAGTGAGCTGCTGGAGCTTCGGCTCAGCCGATCCAGATGTTGGATTGGCTGAGTCGAAGGCCAAGCAGGGATGTGCGTGAGGAGAGCTCAGCCTCCTGTGACATTGCGGCTCACAGGGCTCTGACAGTTTCTCTCCTCCTTTGTGTCAGAGAGGACATAAAGCAGCACCCAGCAGGGAAGAGAGAAATCAAGGATGCACCGCAATATCGGCCAAAAGATGTATTTTCGGCATTTTGTCCAAAGTAGCATTTTGGCCGATATGTTTCGGCGGCCGAAATTTTGGTGCATCCCTAGTCTTTAGGGAAGTAGATTATCCACTTATTTTAAATGGAAGCTTTGCACCCAAAAAAAACCAAAACTATGGACTAGAGATGCAACGATACTGGTATTTCGGTATCGAGTACAAGTACTGATATTTTTTCGGTACTCGCCAATAACGAATACCACTACCGGAAGTCCCATCTTGATTAGCCGGGTGGCGTGTAATAACTCGCCACCCAGCTTCCCGATTAGCTGGGAAGCCATCTCCATACTCCCTTGTCAGTAGGTGACGAGGAAGCATGGAGCCGGCTTTCTGGCCGATCAGGAAGCCGTGGGGCGCGTAATGATTCGCCTTCTGGATTCGCCAATCAGGAAGCTGGCCGGCTAGTCATTACCCCCCCCCGGCTTACTGATTGGCCAGGAAGCCAGCTCCCTGGTGACAAGGAAGCATGGAGCCGGCTTGCTGGCCGATCAGGAAGCCGTGGGGCGCGTAATGATTCGCCTTCTGGATTCGCCAATCAGGAAGCTGGCCGGCTAGTCATTACCCCCCCCCGGCTTACTGATTGGCCAGGAAGCCAGCTCCCTGGTGACGAGGAAGCATGGAGCCGGCTTGCTGGCCAATCAGGCAGCTGGGCAGCGTGTAATGCCTGGCCGAACAGCTTCCTGATAACGGAAATTCTGGTATCAGGATAGGCATCGGGAGCATTTATAATACTCGGTATTGGTGCATCGCTACTATGGACAGGACAGAAAGCTTGCAGACAGACTCAATGTACAGTTTTCTAACTGACCTTAATCTCTCCCTATGCAGTTTGTTGTTTTTCCTAACCTGTCACGCAGCAGCTTCAATACACTGTTAATATGGCTGCTCTGTGCCTAAAGTGAGAGGGGGACTTATTTAAAAACTCCCTTGTTTGCCCTTGTAAGCCTGCTGGTCATGGTTTAAAGGCCTTGCAATTTTTTTAAATCGCCCGGTTTAATTTGGATATAAATTCACCAACACAGCAAATTTCAAACCCACAGGATTTGCCAAGAATCCATGGTAGCAGTGAATCTAAACCTCTAGACATGAGTTGGAATTATGTGACAGCAGCAGGGACATTTAGTGGGGTATGCGGTCCTGCATAGATTCAGACTCAAGGTCTTACTTAGTGGTGGAACTAAGGGCCCTGGTGCAAGATTCTTTTCTCGGGCCCCCTCCCCTTCCTGCTCCCAAGTGAGGGTGCCGGATCCAGATCTCTCTGGCCCCCCAGCTGTCTCTGCACTAAAGAAGCTTACACTCTAATGCCCCCACCCCCATAGTCACACACTATTATTTTACATTCATATAGCTCTGACATATACCATTGTACTGTACAGAGAACACTGAGCCAGTCACATCAGTCTCTGTACAGAGGAGCTTAGACATGCAGAATGCCATCATCTAGAGAGGACTACAAATCCCAGCAATACATTATAAAGCAATGCAGCATAATTATTTACGAATTTGGTACATACTCTGTTCTGCCTCTCAGCTTTGGAATGCTGGCCTAATGTCTTGTGCAGAGGGTCTCAGGAAGGGTGCGGAGGGGTACAAAAGGTCTCAGGAGGGGAAGATGTGCGGGTGGCAGAAGCGCTGTAAGCAGGTGCAGCAGAAGTGACGCACATTACAGAAGTCAACAGAAGTGACGCACACTACAGGGGTCAGCAGAAGTGACCCACACTACAGGGATCAGCAGAGGTGACGCACACTACAGGGGTCAGCAGAAGTGATGCAGGAAAGAACAAGAAGTTCCATCATTATAATGTCCTTATAAGCAAGTACAACTTATCTCAAGATCTCAGTGCTTCATCTAAACACATAACCAACAGGTTATGGGCCCAGGCACTAAACAGAACAAGTCAATAAGAGCTGTGGAATGGAAGTTCAAGCTTAAATAAAGAAAATACAGCTAAAGGTATGAGCCAGAGGCACCTACAAGCCAAAGAGCTAAGGCAGCTACAAAGGAAACTGCAGGCACATCATGGAGCGCTACCTTTAAGTTGACTGAGAACTATATACCACCCAGATGGTGTATTGATTCAGGTGTATTGAACAAGTCACATAACTAGTGATGAGACACTCTTCACAGAAATTGATTTCAGTGCAAAGGACAAAGTTTTCCTAGCAAATGGGAAAGGTATTACTGCAGAAGGTAACAGTCAAGGATTCTGCATCACACTGTCAGGGGACAAGCAGAGTATCCTCATGAAAAATGTACTGTATGTCCCAGACCTAGAAGGAAACCTTCTATAACTGAAAACTAGACATGTGCGATTCGTTTCGTTCCGAATCGAAATTCGGACGAATTTTCGGAAATTTGGACATTTGGATGTATCCGAATTACAGACATAACGAATGCAAACGAATCCGAATTTCCATTTCCGAAATTCGGTAGCGGTAGTTCGAACGTTCGTTTCGTTTTCTGTTCTTATTCGTTTCTTATTCGTTTCGTTCGTTGGAGCAAAGTGACATTAGAGAAGGAGAAAAATATTTTTTCCCCCTCAAATGTCACTTTGCTGCAAACGAATAAGAAACGAATAAGAATTGAATAAGAAACGAATAAGAACAGAAAATGAAACGAACGTTCGAACTACCGCTACCGAATTTCGTCCGAGTCCGAATTGACTTTCACACCCGAATCCCGAAAAACGAAATAACACAAATCCGAATTTAAAACAAAACGAAACTAAACGAATTTTTTGGCAGTGCACATGTCTACTGAAAACCCTTGCTAATAACGGTCTCGCATTCAATTCTGAGGTGATGAATGTACAATTTGATACAATTCAATAAGCAAATCCTCGCAAAAGGTAAATTGGATGAACACCTCTACAGACTCATCACCACAGACAAACAAGTCAAGACCTTTTGTGTGGACTCATAATCCACAAAACAAATGTACCCATCTATGGCACAGACAACTATGGCACCGAAACCCAGAAGCCATAAAGGACATTATAAAGAGAGGTGTATCAGAAGATATAAACAAAAGCGAAAGGATTCCCCGGAGATACTTAATTAGCTCATGCATTTAGGGGTGTCCCTTTCGGGACTTACCAATTTTTTAACAAAAAATAGGTCTGTAACTAGGCACAACATGAAAGAAAAAGGAGAAGAAGACGGTCGCAAGTACTGCTCCGTGCGCTGACCAAAGAAGTTACTCCAGACCGTGTATAGAAAATTACAAATGCTTTATTAAATGACGTATAAACTATGCGTAGGTAAATATAGCACCATATCCCAACATCGTTTTTAAAATGACAAAGTGGTCATATCATGTGCAAAAACATTCACTCCAAAGGGGTTAACCATGTTACCACCGCTTAGGGCAGTGGTT